AGTTTTCTATATTTTATTATAAAAAAACTGTGAAGGACTAATCGAAAATGTGAGGATGAAAGGTAACTTGGTAAAAAAGACAGTAAAATGAAGAGTTCAAAGCTCTAAGGAAAGGAAGAACAGCAAAATAAAAACAACAAAATGGACTTCAATAAACTCAGAGAACTGGCAGATAAGATTTCATGTCAAAATGATTTATAAGGGGAAAAGGAGTTAAGAAGAGCTGGCAATGGAAAAATTGGAAGTGAAGTAAGAGACCTAACTGCTAAATCAGAAGTTTTTACTGATCTCAAACCCAAGAAGGAAGTTAAAAGAACATGGAAACTGGATCACACACATACAAAAGAACAGCACAAACACATAGAATCAAAGAGTCCAAAGTAAAACATGAGATGCATCTACCAAAAGCCATAAAGGCAAGAGAAATTCCATATAGCCTTTTGGAGGAAAAAATCAACAAAAATCTAATGGCAAGGCTAGAAAAGAACTGGCATAGGTTGTACAGAAGATGGTAAACTTTCCACCTTGGAGGTCTGTAAGAATAGGTTCCACATTCCACGTATATCAGAAATAACAGAAGGAGCTCCTCTGGCTTTGGGGCAGAAGGGTGACGCAGGTGGTACTGCAACATCTTTGCCAGACCTTTTCCCTGCAGTTTCATGACCATCTACACCTTATATTTGCAGAAATCAAAGCACTTCAGGGCAGAGCAACTTACTGAAGGTCAAACACATAGCTGAGTGAACAGGAGTCTGAACTCAGGTCTCCTGAGCCAAAACCAATGTTCTGTTGGTCAGAGCAACAGACAACGTCCTAAGCTTTTCAGAACAGGGATCGCCCTTCTATTCAGTGTTTGTACAGTGGGGTTTTGGGATCATGACTGGGCTGTGGAGCACTAGTGGAATACAAACGGTATAACACTATGATAGCACCTCTTTGGGCATGTGTTCACTCTTAACCTGGCAGTTGCACCACAACAGTGCTTCATCTGAACTACATTTCACATCTGGGACTGACTCAGAAGCAAAAAATCCAGTCTGCTCTCAGCCGTTAGCAGAGAGTTAATGGCTATTAGCACAGAGGAAGTAAAAATGAAATCTATTTGTCACGCAGGGTATGAAACCCACAATACACACTTATTTCACTCGTGTAACATCGGTAAGATGTGCCTACTAGGGACATGGTGCAATATATTTTTAGGTGTGGTCCATGGCTACCACTCCCAGGTGATACGTGATGCCTCCTGAGCTGGGACGTGGACCCAATCCTCTCTTTACACTGCCCTGAGAGCTTGACTTCCATTCACAATGAGACTCCTTCACCCTGTCCTGGCAGAACAGAAGGTCCTAGACAAAGCATACTTTGTTTAGGGATGAAGCCTTTTTTTAATAAAATCAGGGTACCTGAAACGCTAGAGGCTTTTACCCTGGTATTGCTAAGGATTGCTGGGGAATCTGATGAGATGCAAGCTGTGCATTAGTCTCTCAGTGTATTGTGAGATTAGTCCCTAAGTGCGAATCAGTGGAGGGTAGGGCCAGACTCAAGAAAACCTCTTTTTGTTTTAGCCTCAAAGATGCATTAGTGTCTCTCATAAAATGTTTTGTGCCACTACAGGTCAGGGTCAGTGGTCCTCAGAAAGGAAGGTGAAACAGCAGAAGCCCCAGACTACCTCCAAACCCCTGAGCTACCTGCTAGCTTTGCTGTCTGGAGCACTAGCTGACTGGAGGAAGAACAGAGAGCACAGCACAAGGGTTTCAATCTACACCTAAAGGAAAAAATGCTCTCGTGTGGTCTTCAGACATGTGTCTGGATATGATGAATTCATGCTCAGAACTGCAAGGGTGGTGTCAGCTTTTCCAATGAAAAGCCTGGAGCTGCTGGCCAGCTTGTCTTGGTCTAGAGGAGATCATATTCTACTACCTGTACTTCAGTAGACAAAAATGTAGCTGAGAAGGTAAGGTCCCCAGAAAGGACCCTGGAATGTTCAGTCCCCTCCTCCTTAGCACCTTGACTCTGCAGCCACTGCAACCTCAGGAATGGATGGCTCCTGTCTTCTGATGTCTAAGCCTAGAGGTTCTTCTCAGTCACAGTGCTATGAGTACTACCACTACCAGTCGAGATGTGCTGGTATTTAACACGAGAGCTAAAAAACTCTGAAGGAAAATCACCATGGAAGTAGGGGGAAACAACCCTTGTAAAGCAAATGTAAAGGAAAGGAATAACCTTCTGCTCTGTTTTAACGAGGAAAAGGTAAAAACATTTGAAATTCCCTCCTTCCAAAGGCATTCCTGTAAAGTCATAGCAGCCATTCCTGTCTCTCTAACACAGCATCTTTTGAAAGTGCCTAGTGCAGACTCCCACGAGTCCCTGTTGGAGCTCTCCCTGGTGACTGCCCTGCGATAGACTCCCACGAGTCCCTGCTGGAGCTCTCCCTGGTGACTGCCCTGCGATGTGCTTGCAGCTCTCGCAGACCTGATGAAGTTTGAGGACAGTTGTGACTTACCTGAGCAGATGCACAGACTGCTGAGCAGCCCTCGTCTGCCCTCTACTGCCCCAACGCTAAGGGAGTGATAACGCTTGATCTCACAAATCAATTCTGGGGCTTAATAAGGAAGATTCACACCAGATTGACATTAAAGGTTAAACCAAAAGGTTAACCTGGTGGTCAAATGAAGAGAAACATTTCTCTTAGTTTATGCTGAAAAAACTTTGTAAAGACTATGGGAAAAACATGTTCATAGCATTCAAAACTTAAGGTGCTCAGCTAATTTATTACACTGCTACAGGATGACAACTGTTAACTGTGCATTCAATTACCACCTCTTTTCTATCAACACCACTATTATCTGCTTTATTGTCATATAGGCATTAAGGCCCAATATATAAGGACAGTTATACTTTTCAGAGTGGTATCATTTCTACCTCATACCCAATGAATTTTCAATGAAAAACGCCACTGAACTCTCTGTGGTATACTGGCTGTGCAAAAACACAACAGAAAATAGACTCAACCATTTCAAACCTAGGTAGGGTCCGTTCCCTCAACTCTGAGAACTGTTTTGACTGAAACTTGCATTTGTAAATCTAAGTCAATCTCACAGGGTCTCCAAAGAATATTAAGTAATTAGCCTGCAAAAGCCACAGGCTCGTTAAACCAGACCATATTGATCCATGTGTTAGAAAAGACTCTATAAAACTCCATTTCCCCAATCACATGCCATTTCTGCCCAACTTCTTCCCTCCCCAATAAAGCTAACTAAATGGAATCTACACACAGTTTATTGGGACACCTTTGGGTCTCGGCAGAAAATCTTCCACCTACCATGCACTGTGTGTTAACAGGAATACTGGAATACAGTTCAGAAAAAGAAGAGGTGGACTAATCTAAGATGATGGCTTTTTTTTTCCCGAGGTTCCAGATCTTTTTTATATTGGGCCACCTCCTGTCTGGCTCTGAAATTTAAGACTGGCAGTTCCAAGGAGTATTTCAAATCTTAATGGCTGATCAACACCTAAGTTTTGCTTAGCAGACAGTGAAATTTACTGAGAGTGGTTAAGAGTGAGCTCAGGTAATGAAATATGAAAGTAGATTTGGAACTGCAAGAACTGAGTCACATACAAGTTTGCCTTCTCATACCAAGAAACCCTGTCCTCCTCCAGCCTTTCTCACCGAAAGCCACTTCCCTCTTCTGCTGCTGCTCTCAGCCTCTTTCAGCGAGTAGGAGTCATGAGTGAAGAGGAGACAGAAAGCAGCAGAAGACTACAGCATTGAACAAGCCCACAATCAGGTTAGGTAACAAGAAGTGTGAGTTTTACCTCACTGCTTGCTTTTGGTGGAGCTGCTCAGAACAAGAGAAATTAGGGGTTTTTTTAATCTGTATGTTTTACCCAGCCTGCTTCCTTTTTGTATGCTCTTTCCTCAGTCAGATTTACTTCCACTAAAGAATGGAGAAAGAACACCCAGAAATTCAGAGGAAGGGGAGAGAGGTGGGAAGAAGAGGAAAGCCATGTTATTCCAACTGCCACCATTTCCCAATTCAGTTCAAGCAGGACCAGCACTAAGGCAGAAATTCCTCTGTAGGCATTCATCCCCTTCCAAAGCGTTTCACAGGAGACTAAGACAGCCACAGTTTAGCAAAGTGTGAAGTCTTGCTCTGAATTACATGTGATATTATGCAAAAAATAAACACCTACTTTAATATATGGGACTATGAGAGTCATCCAACACTGGTTTTAGCTGCCCCAAATCTGGCATCTTGTCTAAATCAGTGGCCCACATCCCCTCTCACATCAATAGAGGTGGACAGCTCTCTCTAGAACGGGACTTATCCTGCACTGCAGGCACTGCAGTTCGCATGGGATAAATCACTCTCTGGAAGCGTAGGCAGGAATGGGATCTGTATCTACCTCAAGGAACCTCCTTGCCAGTGAATGTGTTGTGGAGGACCAGCAAGATCTGGCCATTATTATCGGCAGCTACAACATCTGGGATACTATCACCAGGCTGAGGCACACTACCATCCCACAGAAAGCACCTGAGATCAACAGCTACATGCTCCTCTCCTAGGCTATTTTTTTTTTTAATTTCTCAGGATTTTGCATGTGAACAGTTATACTATTTCACCTCTACAGTCAGTATCACACCCTTGGTGGATCTTTCATAAGGAAAGGGGAAAAACTCAATTCTCTTTACAGATCATAAAAGACAATACAGCCTACTGAATGACCAAACTTGTAAAGGAGGAAAAATTACTGAAGACTAGTAAACTCCTGGGAATGTTTTAGATTTTAAATAAATCACCCCCCATATGCCTCAGCTTTCACACCAATGTGCTAAGTTCAATTATATTTACTTATCCTCCAATGAGGGTTTGTAGGGATTATCTTATTAACTTTTGAACACCAGTCTGAAGATGTGAAGATTAATATGCAAAATAGCGTTGCTGCCAGGTGTAATAAGCCCACAATTTGTGGTTAGAAAACACTTTTCAGTCCAAGAAAAGACAATTGCATATCTTGGGCTGATGATGGAAAGCTTTGCAGGGCAAAACCTAACGGCGCACCTAAAGGTGTCTGACACAAGGTCCCAAAGAGAAGAAAAAAAGATCAACAGTCCCCGCTAACAAGCAAAGCAAAACAAAGTAGATTTTGTTAGATAACTGGTAGTGAAGCAGATCTAGTCAGTGATGTAAAATGTGTTACTTCTCTCGGAAGGCTGCAAGAGCCTTAAACTTCCCTACCACCAACCCTAGTTTACGAAAAGAATATGAAGGGCTGCGAGGCTCCTGCTTCCCAAGGGTTATCTCTTCCCAGCTGACGGAGCCGTAACTCAAGAAAACAGATCCCCAGATGAGTAATGACTTGCCTCTTATGTGAGTGGAATGGAGTCGTAACTCAAAGCTGACCACCACGTGTTTACAGAGAGCCATTCTGATGTCAAGATTTATTTCATATCATGGAAGAAGCAGTCTATTAGTTACAAGCACTTCATTCTTCAACAGCACAAAGTGATAATTCCCATAACTTACCAGCTTTGTTTTCCAGTATCATTAATTAAACCCTGAAACTCCCCATGATAAATTACAGCAGGATTCCTTGCTGAACATGGAAGAAGACAAATTGACTTCATCTGTTCTTTGTTGGTGAGATAACTCCACAATATGTTGCAATATCACATACCTGGATCTACATTAAATCGGTCTAGGAGCCTGAAGACCAGCTTGCTTAGCATTTTGCGGTTAAATTTATCTGGTTTGTACCTGGACAGGCCTTGATATTGTCTGTAAGCAAATAAACAAAATCAGAAATAAACATCTGTGGAATCGCCTAAGGTATGTTTCCCAAATAGCAGATATTTAACAATAGAGGTATTAGGGTTTGCTAGGTGTTGGTAAGAGCAGTCCCCTACCTTTCCTGAGTTATAGCAAAAAGCCAACAATACAACCACACAAATTTCCCAGTCAATGACTGAAGCAAGTCCAGAGGCTTATTTTAAAGAGAAAGCGAGCAATTCCCTCATCTTTTTTCAGAACTAAGACTGCAACTATTGCATCTACACTGTGAGTTTGACCGTACTGTTGGCTTTGTGACTGACAGGAGCTATTCTAGTGAGAGGCAATTTATAAATTAAAACACACACAACTATTTCATGAGCCCACTTGCATCTGATGTCTTTCTGCCACTTCATCACAGTCTTATCTTCCTGCAAAACCTGTACAACCGATACTGAAACTCACGCTTGTCTGCAGCAAAGCACGAGGGTCTGATTGCTACAACCTCCTGGAGGAAGCTTTGATATTGTTATATTGCTAAGATCTACTGCACAGTTTTCATTTTGCACTCCTCTCTCCTGGCAGGAACTGAGCATCTGTCAATAGGAATGATACCTCTGCCTTACGGGCTGAGGTGTTTGAGAAGACTCTGGCACAGACGCCAGAATTTCCCCTTTCTCAGCTGAAAAGTAAATATATTGCACTCCATTATGCTGAGAAATGATCTTAGATAGACAACCAGAGAACATACTGTCCTCTGACAGCAAGCTGGCCCCAGCCAACAAGTGTTTCTACCTTGTGATGTCTCTGATATTAAAACCAGGTTCACACCACGTGTCCAGGATCTGCAAGAGCTTGCTCTGGAGCTCAGGATATTCTCCCACATAATCTTCCACCAAGTTAGTTTTATCTTGGAGCAGTAGCGGCGTACACATCTAGGAGAAGAAATTACATTTAAAGCACTATGCCCTGCCTTTGATCACGATGTTCCGCAGACTGAGCGCTGCAGCACACAGAAGGCATGGGAGAGGTCCATGACATTGCAGACTGAAACCTGGCAGAGGGCTGTCCCATTCCCTGCTGCTCAGACATGGCGAGCAAGTCACAAACTCCCTGCTTAATCAAGCAGTGCTGCCTAAAAGAGTGATGTGACATTTTCAACACAAATATTAGCAAAGCTTCAAAACAGCAAAAGCACTAAACTCCATCATAGTGATAACCATTTGTCAAGAACACAGCTAGAATTTTTTATAACAGTGGCTGCAGCTAGAAAAACAGTCCAGTAAGCTGTAATGGGGCCTAACAAAATACACTCTGTCACTTCCCTATATGTAAAGGCACATCAGAAATGCAGCAGTTACTTCTTGGGAACAAAGTAAAGCCTCAAGTGAAAGGCAGCACAACTTGGAGGGCCTTGATGGATCTCCTGCTTAACAAAAGGTGGATCTGATGACAGAGAAGCCTGCAGAGGAAATGACTCACCTTCTCCACATCTTGATCTGGCTGTAATTTTAGCTTAATACTCAGTATGGCTGCCTAGAAAATACAAAAAAAGTTGTGTATTTAGGAGGAGAACAACACAGTGGATAAATGGGCTTTATTCCAAAGCGAAGTGTGTATGCTATTATACAAATTTTTAATGTGTTAATTATTTCTGTTAAATTTTCAAGTACAAATCATATAAACATTTGGCCACATACATTCCACTTGGAAATGTACAAGAGCACTCCTGGCAGAGTTGCATATTCCGAGCAGCAGCATACCCTGGAGCAAAAATTAAAGATCAAGTTGTCTGGCAGAAAGAGAGAGAGAAAGTAAAGTGCTTGGACAAAATCAGCTAAGATGGATATTTTCTATCAATATAATTGTAAAAAAAACCCTGACCTTTCTGAGTTAACTTTATCCACCTTGCTGTGCCTTTTAAATTTTGTAAAATGGTTCCATTTTGTGAAAGCAACTCAAGATTTGAAAGACCCTGAAATCAAGAGATCTTAGTTTTTATAAATTCTGCATAGCTCCACACCCCTGAAAGTGCTAAGGTTCACCACAATCAGAAAGATGGTACGAACTGTATCTTTCCCTTTTGTGGTATCTACAAATCTTTGATAAGCCAAAACCTGCCATGTTCACAAATTGACTCCAAATCAGTATCTTCTGCAGAAGAGGAAACTCTGCTATGGTGAACTGCAGCAACTCAGACCGCGAGAAGAACTGGTTCAGCCATTGCCTATCCTGTCCCAGCTTGGTGATTACAAAAATCTATTAAGATCTAACTGTGCATTGCTTGGGAGGCATATAAACTAATTAGGATTTTAAGCAGTTTATAGTGTCTAATTTCTGTAGTGTGTGAGAATACTTGGATCTTATACAGAGTAAGCATATACTGGCTTTCTCTAACATAGAGTATTGTTCCAGTAAATAGAGTAATAAGAGCAAGGAGTCTTCTAGCATTTATGTGTTAGTACTGACGTAATTGTGAACTAGGTAACAAGGATGTTTTACATCAAGTGTCCTTCTAATTACTTTGCAAAGTTAGGCTGTATTTTCCAAAACGGTTGTAAACAGTGTTTGAAAACACGACCTCTCTAACCCTACTGCAGCATGCACGTAACGCTAAGCAACAACAAGACAGAGTACGTAATCAACTGAGTTCACAAACGCCTATTTATTCAGATGAGGATAAAAACAGTATGTTAGGGCTTAGAGGAAAAGCTCTTATCTTCAACAGGTTTCTCTGCTACCTGTGATTGATTTTGCTTTGAGAGAAAGTTCATGAAAATGATGGATTTGTTTGTCAAAATAGTTGCATTTTAGAACTGTATTATGTGTTTGAATATGTAAACAAACATAATACAGTAAAAAATGTGCATTCCCCCCCAAGCAAATGCAAACCTCATCATTACACTTCACCTGCATGAAACCTTTATAGAAAAATTTAACCAGAAAAATAACCTAAGTGGCAGTAGGAGCACACCTTGAAACACATTTTCTGTGATCTCTCCTAGCATTCAAAAGACACCTCAACGTAACTTGTCACTGGAAGCACACGTTCTGCAGCCCAGCCAAGCAACACAGACAAAACCTAACAGCTCATCCAAGCACTGCTCACAGCAGGAGCCGTGGATTACATTACCTTCTGGGAAATTCATGCATGTATTTCATCCACTGCATCGAAGACTGAGTGTACAAAAGCAGACAACCAACACACACCATGGAAGTTCAATCGTTCAATCTTACTGTCCAGAAAGAACAGAGATACCCAGTTATCAGGGGGAAAACTTTTTTTTCCTGTTTGTTTTGTTCTGGGTTTGGGGGGTTTGGGGTTTTTTTGGGGGTTGGTTGGTTGGTTGGTTTGTTTGAACACAAAACGAACACTGCGCCACTAACAGTCCAGGCTTCATCCCAAAAAGAGAAATCAACAGAAGAGCTTTAAGTGACAAAAGCAGGAACTAACATTAATGCAGTGACTGTATGCTACAAACCAGATACTGAACAGAAAGGCACGTTTCTCATTTCTCAGCCCAGCTAAATCTTCAACCAAATCTCTCTCTTACTCCAGACTTTATAACTATTCCACCTGTTTAGAGGCTAATATGCTACTCTGCTCCACAAGCATCAAGTACCTTTTCTCTCAAATTATGAGATTAACATCACAAAGTTCAAGCTGAGTAATTATTCTCAACTTGTATACAAGTTGAAGGTTGCTACTTCTGTTTTGGACCTGAAGAAGGGTTTTGGGTCTCCAGAGCTTTGGCAGCTGGTTTTATTTTCCTCCCAGCTATCTGCTTGCTGAATTAAAAAAAACAAAACCAAAGACTTGCAACTCTCAAAATCTTGTTTCACCATTTGATCTCATTAGTACCTTTTATTAAACAAGTAATCCGTTAGTTTTAGCATGCAAGCATACAGTGGTTTCCCTAATCGCTTTTTAATGTTCACATGCACATTCAGATTAACCTAACTGCAGAACTGTTATCAAAATGGCATAGTTTTATCTCCATCTCTATTAACCATACAGGTGACTTAATCAGATGAACATGCGCTGTGCCAGGTTAGGTCTTCCTCTTTCACTGGATCTATATTCTACCCTGTACCAAAGGGTACAGAGCAACGAATATTCATTTAGCCAAAGCGTGGAGAGACATCGCCTTCCAACCCCAGCTGTGGCAGACCCAGCTCACACCACCACCACTGCTGCAGGTCAGGGGAACTGCAAGCAAATCACACAAGCTGGTTTTTAACATCATTTTAACATCACCCAGCTAAAGGAGGTGACGGAGCAGTCAGACAAATTGTGCTGCTGGCAGAAACTCCCTGCAGCAGGGAGCACCGTCAGCAGCGGGGCAGCAGCTTTGTCCATGCACAAAGCTAAACGTGGAGGAGAGGCATGACCTGGGTCCTAGGCACAAACAACCAGGCCGGATTGCAGGGTGGTTACATGGGCTGTCTGGCTGAACAGCGAGGACAACTGAGATAAAATCAGCGTGTTTACAATAGGAATAATAAGAGAAGAGATATGAGTAACTGTAATAAAGATGAAAGTGTTTGGCAGCTGTGTCTGTGGTCTCAACTTAGAGCTATTTTAAGATTTTGTTTTGTTATTATCATGTTTTGAATTGTTTCACTCCACAAACAAGTTTTGTGTAAAACGACCCTATTTTTAACAGTCTGTTTATAGACGATAAGATCTCCAGAAAAGCAGCACCTCATTCGCAGACTCATTTTGTAGTTAGAAAACAAACACTTCAATTAGGCAGACAGCATGCTGTAACTGAAATGGTGAGAATCCCCCTCCCCACCCAAGAAACACGCATTTCCCCATACACAGTGCTGCACTCTCCCAGCTGTGCTGGAAGAGTAGCCAGGGTAGCTGGAAGCTAGCAATCATGTTAATCCAACTGCAGATCCTCAGACTCAGGTTGAGTCAGCAGGGCAACAAAAACCCTAAGCAGCAGATACCTCCCGCACTTCACCAGCTGATCAATAAGCGCAAAAAAGCTAGCTACGACGCAGGAACATGGAAAAGCTTTGGTGAACGCTAACATATTGTCAGCTTATCAGGGTCTACTCACCCTCCCTCAAACTATAAAGAGAACATGTTATAGTCCTGACCAGTGGTACAAGTAGCCTTTTCACAAAAATACATTTCATACATAGAGAGTTTCTAGCATGTAATGTAATAACAGCAAAAAATTAGCATTATTAGCATTATCGCTACACATAAGTCTTTAACCTATACTAAAACCCTCCTGCCCCAGATCATAACAGAAGTATGGGAAAGGTTGGTCCCCGCCTTCCCTTGCATCCCCCAAGTGTATACAGGACAGGTACATGATGAAGCCACTGCTTAGTACAGGAGAAAAGGTGAAGACCCATTGCCTGATTCAAATCCCATCAAAGTTTGTGAGTCTTCCCATTGTCCTCGGGGAGCTTTGGGTCATTCTTTGATTTAATTATGGGGAAAGTGAAAATCCTATTTGGACATTTTGTAATAGTCTTGTTTCCCAAGGATAAACACCTAAAAACACAGCAAAGGAGGGTTGGATGAGGATTCGGAAGAATTCAAAGCTGGGCAATACTACGTTAAATTATATCTAAAATGCGTGTAGGTGCATTGACCATAGGATGGGGGAAGTTACCCAAACTTGACGCATTCAGGCCGAGCCACAAGCACCAGACCACTCTTCTAGTCATGCAATCGCAAAAACAAGAGTATGGGAAAATGGGGAATGTTTTGAAGTAAACACACAAGCCCAGAGCACCCTGCACCAATACCTGATCCTCTCTACCTGTTTTGAATGCAGTTGGCTCTGTCTCATCTAAAAATGACTATTCTTTCCATATACAGTACGAAGTGCAGGAAGCCACACAAGATCTTATCTGCAAGGGCATGTGCACTTGGGTGGTGTCTACACTGACAATTTAAGCAATTTTCCCACGGCAGGGTTAGCCTCAGAGGAATAACCTTTTCTAGTAGCACTGCTTGGAGTGATGATGCAGGACAGACACAAATGGTTTCTGATGACTCCTGCATTACTTAGCTCTGCTGCAAGCAAGTTGGGACAACGCAAAGGTAAATATGCCTGTGCCTGACTTAGTGTAGTATTTCTGAACCAATGGTGAAGGAATTTCTGAAAAACCATAGAATAGACCAAACCACAGAATGAGACTTTGCAGAGGAGGATCCAACGTCAACTGTAAGAAAATCACAGTGTTCAAAGCCTGGATACATAATAATGGTAGAAATAATTGAGTAAAAGGCACACCACATATTAATCATTAGGAACATATGTTTCATGTTTTGGAATCACTCATTTCAAACTTGTGGCTAATCAGTTTTGCTCAAATTCTCAGAGTGCATCACTGCATAGTGTATGACATCAGGTTAGATGTTTAATTACTTCCTGCTTAAAGAGCATACAATATACACAGCTGTCTTCAGGAAGATCTTCAGAAACGAGAAAAATATGAGATTTCCCAGGTCCATTTTCAAGAGAGCATGCACATATTTTAAGCAGCGAGACCGTCAAAATGAAGTAGTGACAGGTTACCCAAATCTAAAGAATCTGAGGTGGAGGGAGAGAAGTAGAAGTCAAGGTTGGAATATGCGTGTGCACAGGTGAAGGGGAAGAGGGAACTGAAACACACACTTCTGTGATTTGTCTTCCTTAGGTCACTCAAAGCAGTTTTAAACCTGGTTTAACTGTTCAGTGCATCCTCACAAATGAGTGATCCTCTAGAGCACTGCCCAAGTTTCTGTGCACACAGGCCACCCACCTTCACCAGATCCTCCAGAACCAGACTCTCTGTATGCACATTCGCACCTCTTCTCCAAGAGCCCGCGTGCTTGACGAGAGCCCAGAAATGCTGGCAGTAGGAGCAGAATACTACCATCTGAATTATTATTTTCCAGCAATGCTCAAGCTCCTTCCCAACCACTTCACCAGACAGATGCCCATAGCACAGGTGGCTCCAGAAGACGTGGTGTTTGGGAGCAGGCGGCAGAGTGGTCCATGGCCTGCAGGTTGGCTACCTCTGTTCTGCAGTGGCATGAATCTAGCAGGCAACATGCCACTAAAGCTGTCCTTTAGCAGTAGATTAAGTTGATAGGAAAAAAGGGTTGAGACTGACATCATCATCTTTACATGAGAAACATCCCCTGTAATATTTTCCTTGTTTTTCTTATTGATTATTACTTTTATTTAAAAGAAACAAGGAAATTCAAATGCACACACTTTAAAATACAGTAAGAGTTGAACAAGCCTTTGTAATTAAGGTGGTGAATGGGGGAAAGAAGCAATATCAGAGACATTTTCACTGTCCTGAGAACAGCTCAAAAAAGTCCGAGTGAAGAAATCCAAAATCTGAATATCCATTAATGTGCTCAATCAATCTTAACACTGACCTGTATTGACAGATTTGCAAAAATACACCAAGTGTACTCAAGCACCATGCATGAAGTAGGACTACAAATAATAACATCCCTGAATCGGTGTTCAAAACATCACTACACTGAAAATTGAAGGTCATGTTGGTGATTGAACTATGCATTTCTACACTTTAACATATTTGTATTCCTTTAAGTTTAACTCTTTGGTCAACCATCCTTTCTACCGAATTAATAAATTACTTCTGTAGCACTATGTATTGTTGACAAAAACTTTGAATTCTGTGTCTACAGAACTTTTTCTCCGGGTACTCCAAGTTATTTTATGACAAATTTTAACAACTGAATTTCAGTAGATAATCCACATTATCTTAATTGAAAGAGGAAACATTAACTGAATTTAACATATAGAATCAACCTTCATTACTTGTTGAAATTAACGGATAAAACATTAGTATAAAAAATATACTCTGCTTTTGAAAACAGAGAAATCTGGATGGACAACAACCAAAAAAACTGTTAAAAATTAAATACTCCCTGTCCCACTAATAGCTTAGTCCCATATTCGTGTTTAAGACCCAAACTGATGAAGGGGAGAAAAATGCTGCTAGTCACCGATGCAGAGAAGTCGGAGTGGGAGCTCTCTCAGGCCCAAGAATATTTCTGGTTGTCAAAGGCTAAAAAGATTATTTATTGTTTCCTTCCTAAACCCAGCTCCACTGCCACCTGTTCAGAATTTACTATAAAGCTGTTAAACAAGACGGGAACTTTGATGCTGACTGTGAAAACAAGTTTCACTGTATCTGACCCGAGCAGCACTCACTACTGATCCAGAAGCAAAGGAATTTGATTTTTTTCTTTAAGCACAGCTATCTTTTTACCTTTATAAGCTGTTTAAAAAAATGTAAATAAAATAACTCAGTGGACAATAGAGGGCATTCATCCCACAGAAAGACAGCCGCCACCCTTAGACATGAAATATCGCAGCACATTAAGTCATGAGACCCCGCTAATCAAAGCTGACAGGGCCCTGAATGTGATTTCTGCTGAGACTTAGCGATATCATGGGGCACTGAAGCATGCACAGCCTGCCAGACTGCCCCTGTTCATGTGACAATGGCTTTTATTCCCGAAAGGGGCCTGCGAGTGACAAGAGTCCCCTTTGTCTTTAGGCTCCCGCATTCGCAGTGCAAGAGAGGTTCATTCAACCAGCCCCAGACACTCTTTGAAAGGCTGAAGTGTAACATAAGATGACCATGAAACACTAGCTTGCCTTCTGCCTACCCCTCATTCTTCTCAAGCACAGCCTGGCCTATTCAGGGCCTCTCACAGACTCGCTCGCACTGCATTACCCCCGGTCTGCTGAATCCCCGCATTGTCCCGGCCCCACCAGCAGCCATCGCCCTTCCCACAAAGACATCCACCCGGCAGCCCGACCAGGCTCCGGCACGGCCCGGGACAGCCCGGGTCGAGGGTGACGTGGAGCCACAGCCCGTGGCTTTGGAGGGCTTCTGAGAAGGGGACAAAGCCTCCACATTTCACCTGAAACTACCTGAGCGGGAATGTTAAACCCTTCTGTCTCTTCATGCCATGCGGGCCGTGAAGAGCAGACCCGGGAGCCCCTTGCACAGCTCCAGAGCGCCCTGCAAGGCCCCACGCTGCCATACTCCTCCAGCAGCTGCAAACTCCATTCAGAAAAGAATGGATAAAAACCCCAAACAGGCCAGACGCCTCAAAAACCCACTTATATGTCCCTGCTTTTTCCTTTAACTCTCACTATATCAGCTTGTTTTTCTGCATCATGGGAGCACTAGTGCCATCCGCTGGCCAGCACTCCCCATCAGGTGCCTCCTCACCACAGCCACTATTTTATGCTGCTAAATCAGAATAAAGTTACCTCCACCTGCGCCATTTTCCACCAGACCGGGTGCCCCCCCCCCAGCCACTATTTTATGCTGCTAATTCAGAATAAAGTTACCTCCACCTGCGCCATTTTCCACCAGACCCACCACCGCCTGTCCACAGCTGACGATTTTCCTGCCGCCCCCACGACGCCTGCACCCTGCCCCGTCAGGCCGCCCTCCCAGCAGCTCACTGCAAAACTCCCGGCTGCTACGATCCACAAACTGGTTCGGCTTTTGACCAGCTCTACTAAAAAACAGGCAGACAGGGAGGGCCAGATGCGCTTCAGAAACAAGTAACCGCCATGGCCATCCCCAGGGATCTGTAGGATCTCGTTTTCTGAAGAGATCTTTCTCCAAAACCTCTGTGAGGGACAGAAGCCTTAACCCACGGGGCAGAGCTGGGGACGTCCATGGTGTACAGCACAGTAGGAAATGCATCAAAACAGGCAAAGGGAATAATGTGCTCTAGAATAAATGCCCGGTGTCTTATTGTAAATACAGCAAGAAAATAAATAATGACAGCAAGGATTTATAAGGATTTCTGTCCTTTCAGGTGACAGACAGAAGAGCCAAAAATCCTACATGTGAATCTGCTTTACTGCCCCATCCGAAGGATGGGGAAGAGCGGGACAAACAGACATGCCACAGCCCACTGCAAGCGCTCAGAGCCCTAGTTCCAGGTTTTTTGGGGTAAGTTGCTGTGACCTTACGTATGATCAGTCCCCAAGGGCAGTAAAAGATTTCCTGTTATTCTTGAAGATAATTCTATTCATCCTTCTGGCAACAAAACAAAACTAGAAGAAAGTTATGGCTGAGGGTAAGCAACAGTTGAGGTTTCCTGTTCTTCACACTGGGAATGACTAGTAAATGAGCTTTTCTGTAGAAGAAAGAACAGAAAAACAATTCCACCAAAAAAAAATTTAGAGCTTTCCAAAACCAGATCTAGAAAGAACTGCATTTCTAATGACAACAATAAATATCTTTGGAGCCATGAACTTAAAAATCACACTTGAATATAGTCAAATACTATGTTTCTGTTAGGATTTTCAATCACTCACGTTCAAAAACTTATTGAGCAAAAGAGTAAGTTTCAAGCAGCTACCTGTGAACTTCTAATCAAATATGAAATATCCTTGTTTCAGTATTCAAAAAAAATCAACAAGAATGGAATTCCATAACCTCACTTGGGAATTCGGCTTTACTGAAGAATAGGATTTTTAAAATGCTATTTGACTTTTGCTAAACAAGATCAAGCTGTTCTACACCATCAAAGTGAACCATCTTCCTTTGAGAAAAACAAAGCTATGTTTTTTGCCTTTAAAAAAAAGAAAAGCATTAACCGTATTGTAGTTTGCTCATGAGAACACTCGCAAGGCTACCAAGACATCACGGTGATGCCAGAGATGCTGCGAGTACTCTAAACCACAGGGTAAAACATATCAAATTCTGGGTTTGGTGAACTCCTGCTAGTGTCAGCCACTCAAACTCAAATACACGAGTATTTGAATATAAGCCTCAATGGTAAAGAGGCTTTGAAACTCCTCAAACTGAGAAGCCTTTGGTTAGGGTAATCACGTGGGAACAGAGGTATTTTCCAACCCCTCCTCGCTGCAAGCAGATTGGAGATAGCACAGCAGGTCTATGACCAACTACTAAACCCCCTTCTTTTCTTGCCAAAGAGAAGGAAAACAAAAAAGAACACAACCATCCCCTTAAATTCTCCAAATTAAACCCTATTAACCTATTACTTTCAAAGGTCAAAAAAGGGGTGGAGGAAGGATTCACTGGCATTCTGTACTCAGCCATTAGAAAAAATGGGGTTGAACACAGCCTGCTCATGTACATGGGAAGACCATGCTAAGCTGTACCATTCACAGTGTGCAGCTGCTGTGATGAAACGGAATTCACATTGAAATGCATCCAAAAAAGGACACAGACATTAACAGAGAACTAGGTAAATTTATTTGAAAGACATGACCCACCTCTTTGTAATCGCCCTTGTGATAAAGATGACTGACATGTTCAAGCAAATAGTTCCGGTCTGCTGTATGGAGCTGGTAAATGCTAATCAGAGGGTCAAGAAGATTAGCTGGGCACTGGGCTAGTATTCTGAGTACACGGGCCTGCAGCTTCTTCAGCTTGATGCCAGACTAAAAAAAAAACAAAAAAAAAATCAAACACAGATTTAGTAAAGATGGCTACAATTCAATGGCAGTTGAAAATGCAGCTTGTTTAAACAGTGGAACAAGCCAATTCCTTGGGAAGGGATTCTCCAATTTCCCCATGGAGTCTGCAAGCAGAAATCAGAACAATATGATACACATTTTTTTCACAGCATCCAATTTAAAAACATTAAATGTTTGCAGGATAATTCTGGAAAAGGCATATGGCCTTGTGCAAAAGTAAAATATGAAACTGGAAAAACGCCCTCTTTTACTAACACAGCTATTTAGAAATTCTCCCCTCTAGTTCCCAGCAGAAAATCTTTGAACCCAGCAACTCTCTTCAAGGGAGATCTCACCTATCCAGCGTAAGAATTCAGTTTTCATTCCCAGGCTTGCTCCTGGGTGCAAGAAGGGCAGGAAAAGCAAAAGCATCGTCAAAAGATGCACAGATACAAGTATTAATCCTTGTGTTCCTACACGATCATTCTCTTATGACCTAGGAATTTCAGTGCCAGTAGCACTTCACTGCACTTTGCAGATACTGTAATGGCAGAGCTCAACACCTAAAAAGAGCCATTTGGAAAAATGGGAAATGAAACAGCACAAATATAAAAGTATCGTGCAGTTCAGAGCCAAAAGCATACAAAAAAGAAAAACTCGGTAGGTCAGGATATATGAAGGCATAAGGAATGGTAAACATTAGGACGTATAATCTGATGACCCATCGTTACAAAGCTAATCATTCAGCTGCTGAAAAGTCATACTGTTACCATTTTCTGCATTCCCGATGATAAAAGCTCCCCACCATATGGCAGGAGTTAAGCAGTTGTACAGTAACTGGCTTCTATTTGCAGAACTGGAAGAATATGCAGTGTAGATTACTGCAATTGGTTTTATCCTGACAGCAAGGATGTGAGTTCCAGTGGGAAAGCCTCCAGCCCGGCAAAGGCTGCAAGATCAACGCTTGATCAAAGTGGTTTGATCTGGAAAGATGGAAATCCCAGCTTGGAAGGGGAAACAGAGCTCTCGCATCACAGCTTCTAATATTATTTCATTTATCAGGCCAGCATATAACAGGTAACAACATCTCAGTACGAATTTCACACCCGTCACACCGTGTTTGTATGAGACTACAGAAAAGATGTTGGACTATGGAATAAAGTGAAACTGGGGACACTTGAGGGACATTAAAACCAACTGCCCTCTCCCGGCTCTCCTTGCTCTCTCTTTTCCTAACCTGTTGAACAGCAGGATGCTCTTCTATCCAAAGCTGCAACTCAGTGGTGATGTAATACCCGAGGGAATGCCCTTTCCCCTTCCAATCACTGCTGCTCTCCAGCATGTCCAGGAGTCCTGCCAATGGGTCCTCCAGTCCTGCAAAGCCCCGCCTGATTTCTTCCTTGAGCTGCTGAGATACAAAACCACATTGTCATGTACAAAAAGATTAGTGAATCCCCCCTTCCCCCAGCTGAACACAAAGCTTTATTTTTTTTAATTTAATCTATTCAGAGAGGTAACTGTTGCTATTCAGCCACCATCCGCGCCTCCAGTGACTTTTCATGTCATTACAGATTCCTTCATGGCTCACTGCACCTCAAACCCAATGGGAAAAGCAGCAATTGTCCACACTAATTATCCCATAAAGACAGAGAAGTTGTTCTGTGGGGCAGACAAAGGGGCTTGGGATTTGGGGGAGGGGGAGAAAAGAAGTGAGCTGGAGAAAGGGGTGTTATTAGGAAGATGGCAATATTGAAGGTAGATAACCGGGCTCAAAAACCTACTCATCTTCTAACAGACCCACAAGTAATAAAGCATATAAACCCCTCCTCCTCGTTCTTGTACCACAGACTTTCATATTTGACCTTACACCCACTTCAGCCACGATGGCATAATGCTCCTTGCCGTAACAGGAATATTTGGGAGTATCAAAATAGTTTGGATTTTACACACAAGATTAAAAACAAACAAACATCAGTGATCAAACTCTGTCAGATTACCATCCTACAAATCTATGCTCCTTTCCTCCAAACCTACCTGAGCAGGGAATTTGCTGTCGACTACCTACTGCCACTGCACGTCAGGCACCACACACCTCCGTGAGTCTAAAGGCCGTAAGGAGGGGCTCGGAACATGGGAAAACTCCACGCCATAAATCTTAGGAATCCCAGGGTGATGTGTTTAGAAATGTGAAGGAATTGGACACTCACTTTGTGAATGTTAATAGGCTACTTACTACCCATCTGGTAGAAGTGATAAATTAGCAGTACTGAGCAATATCTTTATAATGTTTACATTAGAAGTAGTTTCCAAGGAGCTCAGAGGGTTGGCAGGGTGAAGAAGTGGCATCTTTCAGTACCCACACAGGACCTTTCACCGCATGGTACATGTACTGGCGTTGAGCAAGGCAAAAGCAGAGACAGAAAACAAGAAATCACTAAGAGCAGCTGCTGTCTTTCTTTTCTGGCTAAAAAGCAAAATCCAAAAGATGCTCATTCCCGCCTGCAGCCAGCACTTGTAATTTACTGTATATGATGGCCCCAGTCGTAGCTTCCAATGGAAACAACATAAAGTTTGAAGAACGACATGGAAAACAAAAGAAAAACTACAGAAAATTTGCCAATGAATTTGTTCTTTTTTATTCATCGACAATATTTACTGGAAGACAGTTATTTTCCATAGTGTCTTTCATGTCTGGAAAAACCACAAAACCTATCGTTTACGACAGAAACTGTCTCTTTCTCACTAGATTATCAAATGCAGTATGAAAAAGCTGATGACTAACAAAGATGTGACTTTTGATAACAGATTTCTCCCTGTAAGTATTTTTCCCTGTGGCAAGAATTTGCGATGTTAAACATAGGGTTCCAACTTCACTGCGAGATTCAGCAGAAGGAAAAGGCAAGCTCTTATCCAACCACAAATATCCAACACAACAGCCAAAGGAAAACAAAGCAAATCACCAACTAAATTGCACTGTTTATAAATGGCCTCTCTTCTTTTTTCTTTTTTTCCCCCAAAGCCCCACTTCAGCACATTTAGACTGAACAAGAGCTTTCACCACACCGCTCAGCTCCTCCGTGGGCTGGAGTCAGAGCCCAGGCTTTGGCAGGATGGGCTCCAGCAGACACCAGGGCCTGCGAGAGTACAAGGCTGATTTCACATGCAGAGCATCTCCAAACACTGACACAACTGCCAGGAGCACTAACCGTTGATATCTAGACTGAGTCTTGACTTCGAACTAGCTGAACTTTGACAAGCAGGGGAGAAGCCTTCTTCAAAACTTCCTAGCAATCTGAAGACTTCAACTATGGTATGTATAGCTTGAGGGGGAAAAAACCAAAGGAAAAATAAAAGGCATGAGACACCTAAATCAGAGAGGAAAGAGTGCTGTGCTGCCTGGCTCGTCTCTCTGCCAGAGAAGAATTCCTCTCTAACGTGTAATTGCCATTTCCATTTCAATTGATTCCCATGGCAGGGAATGCTCCTTGGGGGATTTCTACAGCCTGACAGATCATGGGAATAGGAAAATTTTGCTGATGCTCAAACTACATACTCCTTCATTCAGTTTTGGTCCCTTATTTCTAGCTACATAGCTCAGGGCAGTCTGCTCATGCTTCTTGGTTATTCCACAACTGTCTTTCCTATGTAGGAAATGACTGCTTCTTATAACCATGTTCCAGAACCGAGGTCACGCCATGGACAGATACCCTCCTTCTGCTGCTCATGGTCACTGATTTGAGACCAATGGGCTGATTCACACTAGTTAATAGACAGTATTGACTTACATTCACACAGAGCAAAAGGCAAAGAAGCTCCCTGCCATTTAAATGTGAATGGAGCAGACTGAGCTGTATTTAAGCCAACTTCCCTCATTTATTTGAACTGGAGAGTGGATGTAAGCAGCAGCATCACACACCTCGAGCTGCACACAGAGGGCAGGGGAGCAGCTGCCCCTGAAAAAAGTCTCTTCACTTGCTGTGGGTGCACCGCATGTCTGAAGGGTGGCGATGCCCTCAGCACGGATTAGCCCATCTCAGTGATAGCGTGACGAGCACGTGTCAGAAACCATTGGGGACATTCGTGTTGTGCTCCCCACCTTAGAGGCAGCTGCTGCTATTCCACCGCCTGCTCCCACCACAGCCCTCCTCATCTCTCTAAAAAGGTTTTCCTCGTGGTTCAGAAACGCATCCTCCAGGTTCAGAAACACACTTCTGCCCGTGCCCGCAGCCACGCGGCGCTGGCTGAAGGGTGGGCCTGAGGGGGACAGACCTGCCCCACCGGGGAGCTGCAGCCTGCACGCTCTGCAAAACCACGCGTCTCACTGGGATGACCGTTCCAGAAACAAACTGAGTAAGCGGAGCTGCAAGTGTGACTCATGGGGATCCTCAAGCTTTTCCACCCTCAGCAGGAAAGCTGCGGTGCTCTCTGCCCAAGGACACGTCGATGGGAGGCTTTGTCTTTTTCAGAGTATTTTTCTTCACAATCCACACACATCCCAGGGTACACAGTACAGAGATTTTGATGATTACTCTTTCCTACTGTTGTTTTGTGGGATTAACTGCCCTCAAGACTTAACAAATAATATTTTTTTTCCTCCAACTCTAACAAAACTTGATAGAAAGCTCAAGGCTTCAGAGTTGCTGAGCTCAAGTCTATGTCGGTGACTGACCATTTGGAAAGGCACCTCTCACACTGTGTTTCCAGTTGTTTAATTATTCCGGCTGGGAACCACAGACTATCAGTAATGGAAAGTCTAAGTGCAGCAGACGAGGACAATGACTAAACACTCCAGACACCTAGGATGGAGCACGTACACCAAGGTATTCAGCCACACCAGCCATTTCACATAGGACACATTCCACGTGGCTATGTGGTGAGCTACAGGTTTTTGGGTCTTTTAGAAAAAAACATCTCGGCTATGAACCTGCCTGAACAACGCAGAGTTAAACATGGGAAACTCACCACTAAGCTGATGCATCTAGTGTTTTTGTTAGTTTTCAAGCTCCCGAATTTAGATGAAATATATTTTACTCCCTATGAGAAATCTCCACACCCATGGGGTGCTGTATAAAAATATAGCATTAATTTTCGACAGGCAGTGCAAATTGCATTCACCACTCTAAAAGGCAAAACCAAACCAAATCAGAAAAAACAGTAAAAAATACTTTGACTATGAAGGTTTTGATATCATTCCACTTGGCAAAGAGCACTTTTCTACTGACTTCAACCCTCGTTTTTTCAGCTACTAGAAGTATTCTTCTCCCTCCCCCAAAAGATCCTCCATTTAATGGACAAAAAAAGTGTTTAAAAGAAAACAAAAGCAACTTTGATTTTTTTCCCCTCTGTAACTCAGCCCTGTAAACTTCAGCTCTTTTATATGAGCCCCTGAGCTGCTTCACATCACACAGAGCTACCTTTTCTTTTCACTTCGTGCTGCAAATGCATAGGCTCTTCCCCTGTGTGCTGGAACTGAAAGCAATCATGAAGAATTGCAGGTCTGACCTAAGCGTTCTGCGTCTGGACATGCTCTGCATGCAGTTATTAACTGCAGCGTGGAGGGGACGCTCAGCCTTACCTTCTTCATCTCTTTCTTTGTCCAGAGAAGCTGAAGGGTTTTCAGCAATAGGAGTGGGTCTTGGCCTGGAGGAGGGGGAAGAGAGAGAGAGGGAGAGAGAGAAAAGGGGGGAGAAAAACAAAACAAAACAGATTTATTGGCTCTGTACAGGCAGCCTAGACACACTGGTGCATTGTTTCACCGAAGAGAAATCAGCTACTCCATGCCACTGTGTTTGAAACCACCAACCTTCCAACTGTCAGTCAGGATTAAAGTGCTAAAATCCCTCACTCTGAAATCCTAAGAAAATAACAGACATCATCCATGCACGGCTTTAACTAAACACCCACACGGGCTCAAATACTGAAAAGCTGTATTGGTGCATTTACAACTAAATCATGCTGCTGCTGCTACGCATCAAATACATCCCCACCGGTCCCCCCACCACTCCCCCTTTTTATATTAAAACAAAATGGTCCCAGAAGAGTAAGCATCTTGCACAGGTTGGAAAGGATTACCAACACACTAATTTTTAATGAAATGGCTCTAAAGTGTTAACCTCATCACAACCTGTGGATGGAAGACGCGAGTGGGTGAATTTATGGGAGGATCAGCCTCTATTAGCTTGGCAAGCGCGGGGCAGCCTTTGTGTGCTGGAGAGCCGAGCCTGCCCGCGCCGGGCCAGCCACGCGGGGCTGGAAGCAGGCTGGGCTCTGACGTGTTTCGGGCAAGATGGTGTTTGAGGAAGAGGAAAGATGAAATGCTGCTGTGATTTGTGGCAAGGCTAAAAAAAAGAGTGATCAATTATTTCAAAAGAAGGTTATTTGGAATTTTTCTCTTTTACTATTCACCCAGTTATTTGAGAACTTGCATTCAGTTGTTATTTTGTATCTATTATCATTCATCATAGAAGGATTATTCCTCATACCATTATTCATCATACCAGTATTTCTGAACCAAATGTTTAGGAATATTTAACTTTAAAAGCAGTAACATTTTTGATATCTGGTTCTATTTAATTCACAGTCATTTATTTACAAAACCATGACTCAAAATATTCTGAATGAAAATCTTCTACTGCATCAACAGCTTAAATGTGAAGAACCAATTTAAAAATCTGAATGAGTTCTACAAAAACACTCCTCATTTATTTAGTGCACTGCCTCTTATGTTTTCTTAAAGTCAAAAGAAAAATGTTAAACTGAAAAAGAAACATCCTTTCAATCAGCTTCTGCGTTCTACAGTTCCTAAATAGCTCATTTCCAAATGCTAGATTTCTTGCATAGTATCCCATCTCACTTCATATTTCAGGTCACAAAAAGCTACTTGAACTGTGAAAAGCTCCACCTCATCCAACTAAACTCCGAAGCACTGCATTTATAAAATATTTTACGTAGCAAGCTGATTACTGGTCAAGCCAAGAGAATGATAGTATTCCCGTCATCCACTAACCTCTGGAAAACACCAGCCAAATTAAAAATGCCACATTTACAATTCATAAGATAATATTTTCTCTCATCTCTGGTTGTTCTGAAATCTTGAACTCTCCAAACACTGGCTGTTCTCAGCTGCTGCTTCTCCTTTGGAAAAATAAAAGTCTCTTTTTACAAAAAACCAGAAGAAGATCCAGATCCCTGGTCCCCACAAAATTAGCAACTAACAGTCAAATTCAGCCCATGTGTGTGTGCATGCACATATACACGCTCTCCTCTTGGCCTGACTCCCAAAGAAATTTATATACACAGAGGAAAAAAAATTAGAATGCAACCTAGTGTGTAACCAAATACACTGTAAATCTGAACTGTAATTAATGCAGTGAACAAGCCGGAATGACACAGGAAATGAGAGCAGTTAGGAAAGCAGTGTTTCACTTCAGATACAGCCAATAATTCAACTTGTTAAAAAGCTTTCTAAACCTCAATCAACAAAACAAGCCCTTTTCTTACGTGACTTTTTCCTACCTTACCTCCCTGTAACTGAAATCCGATCTTACTGTTTTTTCAATACATAGATGCATGAAAATGGTCTCTCCAGTCAATTTTAAACGACTCAGCATGCTGCCAGCATGCCACTGTGCAAGCATGGGTAAGTAGGAAGCAACCTTCCCCCTCCCCAAACCCTGGAAGTGAACGCACCCATAATGTAGTTATTTCTATGAAACGTCTCGGGACGCTGCCGAGCCCCGGCGTTGGGCAGCCGGGCCAGCCAGGCAGCGGTGGAGGCCAGTGCCAAACCACTGGGGCAGGAGAATGTCAACCACGGGGAGGGCAACCACCCATCTTCTGGCATGACCTGACCAAAAGGTTTTGCTCTCCATTCAGTCTGTGCGTAAGAAAGAGGAAAATCCCACTCAATTCTCCAGAACGGGGATTGAACAAGGACAGAAAACACTGACAAATTAACTGCGGTATGCTAGTGTCAGAACAGTGCTGTTTCCTTCCTTACCTCGTAAAGCCTTGGAAGTACCTAAGGATGAAATGTAGTCAGAGGCTAAACATGACAAAATAACTGACGAGCAGATACTCCTAGAACCAAACATAAACGAGAGCACAAAGCAACATTATGCTTTTGCCTAGTCCCACCAGAGTGGAAAGCCACTGCAGTTCATGCTGGACCTTGAGCTATTGTATCTAGCTACCCTCCAGCTAGGACAGAAGATGTAAATGTGAAGGTCCACATCATTTTGGCTACTGAAAGAAATGAAGAATTCCTCTATTCTTCCTTCTGCAGGGCCTCTGGTGGACTGGTCTTCTCTTGGTTCTCCTGGCACCCCTAAAGAGTGAGAATGACTGTCTTTGGCATGGATAAAGAAGCAATAATAGTACCGTTATGTTCCCATTGAATATCAGATAGGATCCTGCTCATCCACATCCGAGAAGGAACCAGAGAAGCAGCAGGAAACTAATGCCAGGATATCCAAGGAAAAAGGACAGGACCTTACAAGGAGTTTCACAAGCCTTCCAGAACAAATCTGGAGAGCAGACGACTGCCCAACACAAAAGGGAGAGAGGAAGAAATAAAGGGAAGGAAGAACAAAGCAAAGTGACTGAACCACAAATGCATCTGGGCTCAACTCAGAGGACAAGAACAGGAAAATTCTGGAGCGGCCTCCAGCCACAGTAGTAGGAGCAAGAAGCAGCAATTACTAAGATACACGTATTAAAACAGTGACAGAACAGTGCCTGCAAAAGCAAGGATAGGTCACAGAGGCCAGAAAAATGCCTTCATATGTCACACCAAGAACACCCAGAATCTCCACTTCTAAAGAAAAGTTAAATTCTGCAGAGACTCTTACATACTGAAGAGGTATCCAGCTATTAGCAAGGGTCATTCAATGAGCAAAACAAACAAAACAAGGATGAGGCCATATAAAACAGTGTGGCAAGTAGGAGAGCATCAGCTTTCCCTGCTCCCAGCTGTGAGCAGCCAAGGATGGCCAGGTCTACCATGCTCCCAAACTGGAGAGGCTGAGACGTGCCCCAGGCAGCTGATCCCATTCAGTTCCTAGACCAAGCTCGAAGAGCAAGTGCTCAGTCTGACACTGATCCTTCACAGCTCAAAAAAAGGGGGTTGCAGACCATAAAATATCTGTCAAAGCCCCACCAAAGCAAGGTTATAGCACTTTGGTGGAGATCTCAAAAAGACACACCTGCACCCACTCCATCAAGACACAAAACCTCCATTTCTTCACCTGACAGTTTCTCCAAATAGCATGTTCCTGTTTTAAGAGTATTGACATTAATATATTTCCTTTCAATTTTTTTCATTCTGAAAATAAATTTCCTCTGCCCTGAATCTGGTACCAAAATTGGAGGAGATGGTAAATGAAATCTTTTCCAGTTCTCAATATCTGTGGTTAAATTTCAAAACCATATAAACCACAAGGCTTATATTTTTGAGTTAGGAAAGCGCCTTTGAGGAAAGCCATAAACTACTTTCTGTTCATTCTCTCTTTTTCCTTTGTGCATACATCACTCAAAACCTGCTGTGATCACAACAAAAGCAGTGCCTGCGGGCTGGTGAGGTAAAGCAGTGGTTTTGCTATTGCGTCCTTGCAAAATTCTGCTGCGTTATTGACCGGTTCTGCTGAAACGCCCTGGCAAGAGAAACCCACTTTCTGACTGAGGCTCCTTGTGTGTCTCGCATGGGGAAAGTGAGACACCCAACCCCAGAGGAGGAATTTACCAATGAAAAAATCTCTCAACACTTTTTCTTTGTGGCAAAAGCCATTAAATGCCCCATGGCCCGAGATCTGGAAGAATTACAGTCAAATAATTAAAAGATAGAGAATGCAAAAAAAAAAAAAAAAAAATCTCCAAAAAAAAAGGAGGCTAATGTGACTGAAATGTAGGATCACATCCACCAAGCGGTCAATTACAGCTGAAATTCATAGACAGAAAAGGTCAAGAACAAAATGCTAATGGTTAAGTCTTCTTTGGGCAGACAGCTTATACTTCTGCCTTGCAAATTAACAGGATTTTAATGAATGTATAACAAATCCAACCCACCCAGTAAACCACCAGTGAATTTTTACTATTATCTACTGTTCTGTGTGCCTTCTGCTCCAATAAATCCCCAAAATCTGTCCTCTGTGAAAACTCCTGTTAATCTCAACAGCCTTTGAGATATTTTTCTGAAAGGAAAATAAAGATTCTAGACACACCAATGTCACCATAAGTGCAGCTAGCCCATTTGCACTTAAAAACTAAAATATATGCACTTAAAAACTTAAATATATAAATGTATAGGCAATGCATAAAGTGGGGGTGGGTGGGGGAGCAGAGTTACTCAGCCAGCTCCTGTTTCAGCAGCATGGTGGGTACACCCAATACTGTGTAATTTAAATTACATCTGAAAACCAACAAATAGTATGCTATGTGGATTAAGAATTAATCAAAGTCACTATCAAAACCTACTTTGTCTCAAGTTTTTTCAGAAAAGTGTCTGTAGTTCACACCAAGTATGTTGTAATTTCACAGAAGAGAAGGCTGATAGGGAACAGAAATAATACCACTTTGATGATGCAAAAAACGAACGGATACATTTTCTAGTGACAGATTTTGAATCTCTAAGAACAAGCTGATAT